TATATACATATACATATATACATATACATACATACATATATATACACACATATACACACACACACACTTACATGTGGAGGAACAGACCTCGCCACGTGTTCTTGGGGGGGACTGCTTGCCCGCCTCCTACCTTCTGACCCTGGGATATATGGCATTCGAAAACACTATTTGTGCCCTGTGACAAAACTGAAGATGGTGCACAAATATGACTATTGTCCATATTTTTTATGATTCCCTTCGTTTGTTGCACTGTTCCCCATGTGTTTCATCTTATTACCGGAGGAATAACAGGAACAAACCACAGAAGCCACACATAGAGATATAGACACAAGTCTTCAGGAAGTAACAGGTCTTTTATTCACGTACCGATCGGGTCTCAGATGAACTCCTGTTCCAAAAATATCTGAGAGGCAGAAAGCATGGTGCAGAGGCCTTTTGTTGGCAGCATATCCCCTCCCATACAGTATAACCCCTCCTATATTCAGGATCACCTTATATGGGCAGACCAAATGACATTTACAGACAAAGGAATGTACTATGCACTTCCACACATGCTCAGTACACTGATGACTCATCCAACTGTTTGTAATCAGATACGAATTAACATATGCTATGTGGAGATTTCGGCCTACTAAATTTTGACCATGCTGGAATCCCATCACATTCCCCCCTTTGATGCCTCTGATACAAAGTTATACAAGATGCATCACTAACCATAATTTGCCAACACCACTCAAGTAGCCATGGCCCAGAACAGACCTTGTAATCATTCTAACTTAACTTCGTGCTCTCTCAACATTCCTCATCCTGATTATTCTCTCTCTGGGCTAGGGATTCATATCTATTGACAGCCATTACATGAGTAGCTGTCTTTCTTTCTATAGTACTCTCTATTATTATACCACGTATAGAATTAGGCAGGGCAGAAAGAGACATAAGAATATAATGAATACTACTCCTACTAACGCCTTAATCCCTGCAAGCTGCTCATGCCAACTTCCAAACCAACTACTAGGATTATACCCATTCCAGACCTGAGTCGGTACATGCGCAAGTTTAACCATGTGGCTTGTAAGTTCAGCCACTGCCCGCCCTTCATAATCTATGTGCAAACAACAGTTGCTAAGATTCAACTTTACACATACACTTCCCTCTACTGCTAATAGGTAGTCCAGAGCTAATCTATTTTAACATATGGCTGATCTCATCCAAGTATTTTGCTTAGCTAGAAGATTAAGTGCTTGTGCTGTTTCATTGGTGATAATCTCAACCACCACCTGTAGTCTTATAATACGGTTGAGCATATATATTGGGGTTCTATATCCATAAATACTATCTGCAGCCCAGGTAGCAGGTCCATAGTAATTTATGATACGTTGGGGAGGCGACTCATTTTCCCAACTACCTATATTCAATGAAGCTCGCTTCTTTTCATGATTCACATCATAAACCTTAACTCCCAAGGTCTCTCCTGTTTCAATTGGCAACAAGAAGGATGGTTTGAGCATACCTAGCACACATGCTCCTTCCCAATCCTGTGGTAACTCTAAATAGGCTTTCTTACCACAGGTCCAGTACAAATTCGATGGGGTTTTCCCAATTGGATGTAGCAGATAAGTCAAACTATACCTCTTTTAAATTGGTGTAATTGGCAAAAGGATTAGTAGGTTCCGAGACATTTGAAGCTGACCACCAAGTAGTATCTTTTGTATCAGCATTATAGGCCTTCTGTCCTAAGCAGGTTAACTCTCCAACAGATGTATTATACAGTGGCCATCTTCTAGCTAAACATACATGGCCTATGATAGATTTTTTTTAAACGCCATTCTGATTTATCTCTAGTACTTACTTGATGATCAGACTGAGAAAGCATCTGTTGTTCATCTGTCTCAGAACCAAGGTACCAAACCTCTCTTGCCTCTCATGCATTATGGGAAATTGTATCCTCAACACTCATCTCCTCATAGAAGGAATGAAAAACCTGATGAGTTTGAGAAGCTGTCGTCTCAGTTTTAAGTCCTACATATATTATGGTTGTGACGGACCGCTGGCACTCCGACTGAGTACCTCCGCCAATCGATGCTCCTATTGCTCGCTGAGGACTCCAACCGACACCATCAGCAGTGCAGACCCCACTATCAATGATGCAACTGCGCCAGGGTCTCTGCTGTCTCCACCCACCCTGGACCCAAGGCCAGGATCCAGCTTCCAGTGGGTGAACCTCTCTTTCCCCAGAGAGCAGGAACAAGCTCTTAGCAGAACTTAGTGATCATATCCTGGGGAGTATAGTGATTATAGCAATCCCCAGAGTGTATTTCTCCAATCCCCCAAACATGAGCCAAGGCTTAATGCTGGAACAAGACTGATTTACTGGCACACAGAACTCACAATTTATGCAACACAAAACTCCTCCTCTGGGCCCGGCTAGATAATTGAGTTTCTACAATACACAAAGCTCAATTATCTGCTGGCCAGAAATAATACAGTTTTTACAGCATATTCATAACTTCTAAAAGATACATCACATTCACATAAAAAATATATATTCACAATCAATCCATTCAGGGAAACAACGTATCAAAAAAATGGCATGAATCAGACCAGGGGTTAAGAAGTTAGTAAAGTATCTTTTGGGGCCTGGCTGGCAGCATGGATATCTGGCCCAAACTGGTTTTACAGAGCCCTCTAGCCTAGAGACAATGGGGAAAGTAATCCAATTATCCAGGGATAGAAGCAGACTCCATTGAGCACATGTTCCCAGTAAAACACAAAAGGATACAAAACTACATAACTCCTATCATACTGAATTGAACGGTCCAAATCTCCCAGGGTCCATAGTCACAGGGCAAGAGGCGGGCAAGCAGTCCTCTCCAGGCACAAGTGGCGAAGGGCACTTCGTCACAGTAATAAATCCATGAATAAAGGAGCAGGGAGGGAAAGTATTGAATGAATGGAGGGGGATTCTTCACAATGGTCCTTGGATCTACTCCTGTACCATGCTGTGGATTGGAAATGGTCATATGCACAGGGTTACACTCCATAGTTTTACAATACGGTGCCGTGGGCAACCTTTGGATAATCATATCTTGATCTACTGTCTTTCCCCAGGTCGCCCAACCTACACATGACCAATAGGGGCAGAAGTTAAAGTCTCTAT